AGGGAATCTTCGTCCTCCTCCTCCTCCTCCTCCTCTGCGATACCATCTTCTCCCTGCAAAGTATCTTCGCCCGATGTAGTCATTTGATCATCTTTTGTCCTTTCACCACTGGTGGAGGCCGCCGCTTCAGCTTCAGCCTCCGCTTCAGCCTCTTCTTCGTGGGAAGAATCTAGTCTTGGTAAAGTTGGTTGAGTTGGAGCAGGTCGCCTCCTCACGGTTCCAGGACCATGTCTGGAAGGTCCAAACCCGGATGCTATACCCCCAATTCCAAGTCCCGCCTGTTGCTTGTTCATTTCTTCTTCCATCTCAGTCACATCATCATCTACCGAGAATTCTTGCCCTCTATGAGGCGCTTGTACGTTTGATGAGGCTCTACGCGGCATAGGAGGTTTCTTTGGTCGCTGACCTGCTCGACCGCGATCGGAAGGTCCTAGCATGGGAGATCTGGCTGGCTGAAATGATCGTGAAGATTCTAAACTGACAGGCTGGGGTCGCTCGCCGGTCATGGACGATTCGCTATTTCTATGGCCGTCGACAAGTTGTGGAGTCTGAGGAGTCGATTGAATAGTCCCTATATTTAGCATTAGTCAATCTATAATCTAGCAAACCTGTAGCAAACAATAGCTAAGGGTGGAAATTGAATGTGCGGGCAAATTTCAGAGTGGCGTACCATATCCTCCTGCATTGTCTGGTCTCCGTCGGATTGTGTCCGTAGACTGAAAACTTTCGGCCAGACCATCATTTTGTTGTGAGATGGATCTTGATAATGGATGCCGCGTATCTGTGGGACTTGTTGGTGTTGACATGCCGGAAGGAGTTGGAGTTGTGTCTTGAGTATCTTTCCCAGATCCTGAAGACTCGCCGGGAGTTCGAGACATTTTGTAACTCGAACCTTGTACACCGACTTAAATTTTTATCTGCCAACCAGCCAAAGAGTATGATGCGATCAGTCGCACATCGGGTATGGAAACAAGCTTAAGGCTTGGATTAAGTTGAGTCCTTTGGTTAGTATGATTGTTAGTTCCCGCGTTTGTGGAAGCTTGAACATGCGAAGAATACGAGAGGAGGAAGCAGATGGTGATGCATTCAATATGAGAGAAAGTCTTGAGTGAATGATCGAAATATGATATTATGTTTACGGATGTATGTGATTGTGGTAAGTAGGTATCTTCAACTATTAAGAGATTTAAAAGAGAGAGAAAAGGGAAAGGGAAGGAAGTTGGGAGGGTGAGAGGATGAGAAGATGAGATGATGAGATGATGAGAAATATTATAATTGTTATATTATTTTCTCCAGGTTGCGGCGCTTGGGTTGCGACTTGTGCTTAGATACAGTAGCAACAATTTATTTGAATCATCCTTTGAGAAAAAAAAGATCAGGCGGATGTGGAAAATAAAGTTTGATTCTTGGGGTTCTTATCGAATGGAATGCTACTACATTTCATTACATCGTATTTTCCAATGTTTGGCTGAATTGTGTGTGGAAGCAGAAAGTCCTTCATGAGCTTGTCTGTACGATCAAGGTATCTTTTGATCATGTATGCATGTATGGTAGTAGACAAGGAAAGACAAGACGGAAAGGACGTTTTCATGTGCAATGATGATAGTAAGTGAGGACCTACCTAGTAAGCTGGTCTTTCATTGGCGTGTGCTGAGTCGTACATACATTCCCCTCCGCCCACCCAAACAATTGTTGATATTATTAATCTTCACACATCAACATATACACCATGTCATGACATGATTATAATATAATATGATATACTCCATATAGCATTTCTATTTAGATATCTATCTTATCCACTTGTTGACAACACCTATCACATACCTAGGGATATATCTATCTAGATCTTTTCATCATTCCCGTCACTCCAGACTATATGGATATGGATCCTGATGAAATCTGGAGTCTGGAGTGCATACTCTGTAGTGCTAGGCAAGATTTAAGAATTGAAAATCTCCGTCTCCCGTCTCTCATTTCCGTCATGATTTGTGATTTGCACGATGAATGATTGGCTTCCTTGTATCAAAAGTTTCTCTGGTGCGAGTAATCCGTACATCGTAAACGGGATGTTTGATAATCCCACTTCTGGTGGAAATATCCGCCGGTGATACTTTGTGGATAGCTTCCAGGTTCGTTAGCTTGATTCGAGCTTTTATTACTAAGAGAATGTGAAGTTATGAAGTTATGAAGTTATGCACTTGTGAAATTGAACTTGTGAACAGGAAGGAAGGAATCCGACGCGTCTACGCTTGCTACCTAGAAAAATAAAGTGTAAGCCTTACCTACCTACTTGACCCGACCGAGATTCTTAGCGTCCTAGCCTCGTGTGTGCACTGTGCACAATACCAGCAAGACGAGAGACGTACACTTGTGATACCTTAGGATAAATCAACAATTTATCAGCCTTGAAGAAACAACAACATTACAAAACTTCGAGCCACCCATAATTCCATCACCATTTGAGATCTCGTTTCCTCTTTTCAACCTCATCCCCCCCCGAACTCATCCATCATGGCGTTGGATAGCTTCTTCCATAATAAGATTGAGAGCATGAAGCTCGAAATCATTCAAGGTCAAGCGGTTCTACGAAGATTAGAAGCTCAGCGAAATGACTACAACTCAAGAGGTACTCCTGCTGATCCTGTCGCATAAGAAAGAGTAGCAGCTAATCATATTAGTGCGACTTCTACGAGAGGAGCTCGGTTTATTACAACAACCTGGATCCTATGTTGGTGAGGTGGTAAAGGTTATGGGCACAAAGAAGGTGTTGGTCAAGGTGCACCCAGAAGGCAAATATGGTATGAAATTTATCACAGGCGTATAGATATTCACAATACTGATTTTGGATGAAGTCGTCGACATTGCGGATAGTGTCGATATTTCAAAACTTACCGTTGGAAAGAGGGTTACCCTTCTATCGGATTCCTATAAACTCGAAAAGATGCTCCCATCATCCGTCGATCCTCTCGTTTCCCTCATGATGGTCGAAAAGGTCCCAGATAGCACATACGATATGATTGGTGGTTTAGATCAACAAGTAAAGGAAATCAAGGAGGTTATTGAGCTTGGTCTTAAGCACCCGGAACTTTTCGAATCTCTCGGTATCGCACAACCTAAAGGTGTTCTTCTTTACGGACCTCCGGGAACAGGAAAGACTTTGTTGGCAAGAGCTGTCGCGCATCACACCGACTGTAGATTCATTCGAGTTTCTGGTTCTGAATTGGTTCAAAAATATATTGGTGAGGGTTCAAGAATGGTCAGAGAGCTTTTCGTCATGGCAAGAGAACACGCTCCATCCATCATCTTCATGGACGAAATCGATTCTATTGGATCTTCGCGTGTGGAAGGGTCTTCAGGTGGTGATTCTGAAGTTCAAAGAACTATGTTGGAACTACTGAATCAATTGGATGGTTTCGAGCCAACCAAGGGAATCAAGGTCATCATGGCTACCAATCGTCTAGACATTTTGGATCCGGCACTATTACGACCAGGGCGTATCGACAGAAAGATCGAGTTCCCACCTCCAACTGTTGAGGCCAGAGCCGACATTTTACGAATTCACAGCCGCAGCATGAACCTGACTCGTGGTATCAACTTGACAAAGATTGCGGAGAAGATGAACGGATGTTCAGGAGCTGAGTTAAAGGGTGTTTGCACGGAAGCTGGAATGTACGCATTGAGAGAACGCAGAGTTCATGTCACTCAAGAGGATTTCGATTTGGCGACAGCTAAGGTATTGAACAAGCATGACGACAAGGAAGTCAGTTTGGGCAAGTTATGGAAGTAGACGGTTGGGTAATGGTCGGAATGGCATTTGTACAGTACAACAGCATGAAGAGCGAAGAGATATCAATTCAAACATATTTGGTGTTTTAGCTTACCCCCCTCGAGCCTCTCGAGCCGATTTGAAGCTTCACGATTTCGGAGTTCCCCTTTTTAGTAGCCCGATCCGAACTGCAGGAAGCCGGGAAAGTTGCCAAATTTTGAACTTTGTGCTTCCGCTTGAGCGATCCTCACCTCGTTTTCAAAAGGACAAGCCTCGATCTGCGTTCTACAGTACCCTTTTGCCATGGTTTTTTTTTTGCCACCAGAAATGTGAACGATTTGAAAATGCTGCACGAAGGGTGCGAAGAGGTGGGTCTAAGTGACAATCGACTGACAGACTGCCCTTTTTTGTTGCCCATGAGACCAGATCGTGAATGCCCCAGACCCAGATAGCTACTTGATGACGAGAGGTTAATATACGAATAGATTTGATATTGTTGTTGTGGATTTATTCAAGATCACACAGCTCCAGATTCCATAAAATCTTAAATCTCACAACATGGAATTATTCGAGTATGCTCGAGTAATATATACTAATAATTCTAGCTTGGAGTCTAGAATAATGGTTGGAGAATGCTACGGCCACGATAAGGTTTGGGCCCAGTGACGAGATTCATGAGAATTGCAAAGTTTCCCCGTTTGGGCAAACGGTGAGCCATCATTCTATACTCTATTTGGTAGATTTACGCTTTTCAGTGGGGGAAGGAGGGTTAAAAACGAAAGTGGGGTCCTATGACGATAAAAAAGCTGGAGCTTCCAACCAGGAGAGGAGATCAAGCTTCGGAGAGGTCTACATCGTGAGCTACCATACACTACCAGGGACTTTCAATATAGATTAGAAATTTCTTTCCTCTTTCCTTTCTTCCTTCATACCACCATACCATTCACATCTCAACTGCCTATCTCACCGCGACGACATCGTATCAATATATTTTTGAATATAGAGAATCAGATTCACGTTAACCCTCCCACATTATATCACTGATGTCCGTATTTCCCCTCTTTACCCCGCCGTGCCCAGCTCTCACATTCCTGAGACTATTGGCACACTCAACATTCTATGCCATATCCAATGGAAATAGCTACCACCAAGGACGTCAAACGTCGTAACACGTACTAATCGGGATTGTAGAGACAAAAAGACAAAAGCATTGAATACGAATACCGGCATCATGAGTCACTTGCCTTTCCGTCAAAACTACAGGAAGTAAGTGGATTCATATCCCCCTTCCAAAAGTTCTTACGCCAACACTGCTTGTATTCGCGCATTACTAGATCTTTGTACTGATTATATATCTTTTAGACCATCGCGTCAAGCGAGTATGGAGTGAGTACTTCTCCTTTTATCACGAATTTCAATTCGTTACCTGGCATGTTCAAATGGTTGTGTCGAGCTCGGGTATTGGATGTGGTGGATGCCCAACGCATCTTTTGTTCAGGGCCCAACCAAAACTTGAACATTTCGAATTGAGTCCCAAAAATTGGATATGGAAATATAGATTCATAGGGTGCATTGAATTGATTTGAACAATGAGAAGCTTGGGGTTCGAATGGACACCAATTGTTGCATCAATGGCAAGAATAAGTGGCATCTAATACTGACATGTCTATAGTCCACATAACGATTTGAACCCTCATGTAGACCATTTCAGTAAGGTTTCCTCAAATTTCTTAACAAATCCGTACTCTAGAATCACTCGAAAGACGTTTCTGCCACGTTTAACACTCAGGTCATTTTTACTCTTTGACATTGGCTAAATTTTGTGATAAACAGTCGGTATCGATGTTGGAACTGGATCAGCAAGAGCATGTATCATCGATGCTTCAGGAGATATCAAGGCTTGTAAGTTTTAAACACCGAGAATACATTATAGCAGGCCCTAACGTTAAATAGTGGCTACAGAAAACATTGGTTTATGGCAACCGGAAGTTGGATACTATGAACAATCCACAACAGACATCTGGAGATGTATTTGCATGTGCGTGCAAAGAGCTCTCAGCCAACACAACATTGATCCAACAACAATCCGTGGTATCGGTTTCGATGCTACCTGTTCCTTGGCAGTATTCTCAGAAGATACCGACGAACCAGTACCTGTCACCGGTCCAAACTTCGCAAACGATGGCAATGACCGCAACGTTATTTTATGGCTTGATCACAGACCAGTCGAAGAGGTGAAGAAAATCAACGACACAGAACACAATCTACTACGATACCTTGGAGGAAAGATGAGCATTGAGATGGAAATCCCCAAGGTTCTATGGCTTAAGAACAACATGCCACCTGAGCTCTTCGACCGCTGCAAGTTCTATGATTTGGCAGATGCTTTGACGCACATTGCAACTGGAAATGAAAGCAGATCCTATTGCAGTACTGTCTGCAAGCAAGGATTTGTCCCAGTTGGTGTTGATGGAAGTGTAAAGGGATGGCAAGAGGACTTCTACGAAGCTATTGGTTTGGGTGATCTAACCAAAGATAACTTCAAGCGAATGGGAGGAGTAGATGGAGTAGTAAGCCCGCTTCTAACTGCGACTTATGATTTTCAATCATCCTAATAAATGCTAACATAATCGTACAGAACGGCAAGTATCTCAGCGCCGGTGAACTTGTTGGTACCCTCAGCGAAAAGGCCGGTAACGAACTTGGTCTCCCAGCTGGAATTGCTATCGGAAGTGGTGTTATTGATGCTTATGCCGGATGGATTGGTACTGTTGGTGCAAAGGTTAACTTGGGACAAGATTATCTCGATACCGGAGCACCCAAGAACGACATTTCCCAAGCATTCAGCCGTCTTGCAGCTGTAGCTGGAACGTCCACCTGTCATTTGGCTATGTCTCGCGAACCTGTCTTCGTAGATGGAGTCTGGGGCCCTTACAGAGACGTTCTGCTTCCTGGCTACTGGATGGCAGAAGGTGGTCAGTCTGCGACTGGTGAACTTCTCAAGCATGTCTTGGAGACTCATCCAGCATATAATGAAGCCATGTCCATGGCAGAATCATTCAACACCAGTATTTATGATTACCTAAATTCCCATCTTGAGGAACTGAAGGAGAAGGAAAATGCTCCAACCATCTCATACCTTGGACGTCACTTCTTCTTCTACGGTGATCTCTGGGGTAACCGTTCACCAATTGCCAACCCAAAGATGACTGGTTCAGTCATTGGTCTTACCAACGACCGCAGCATGGACGGTCTAGCCATTTATTACTACGCGACCATGGAATTTATTGCAATGCAAACCCGCCAAATCGTCGAAACCATGAACAGTGCCGGTCACTCCATCACCTCTATCTTCATGTCGGGTTCCCAATGCCAGAATAAGATTCTAATGGAACTTATGGCTACTACATGCGCTATGCCAGTTCTGATCCCAAGATATGTGCACGCAGCTGTCGTTCACGGTGCCGCCATGTTGGGCGCTAAAGCCGCCAGTGCAGATAAGGAGGGCAAGACAGAAGAGTTGTGGAGCATCATGGATAGAATGAGCAAGCCGGGCAAAGTAACCAGACCAGGAAAAAACGCCAATGAGAAGAAGTTATTGGATGTCAAGTACAAAGTATTCCTTGAGCAGTGCAACACTCAACAGGTATACAGAGACCAAGTTGATGAAGCAATTGAGGGCTGGAGCGAGTAAATTATCTTGATGGGAAAAGCCAAAACTTTTGATTACGAATGAACGAAACTTTGGGACGGATGGTTAGGATTGATGAGGGTAGATAGTTGGGTAATAGGTTAGCGTATTTCTGCATAGGACCTGCAGAAATACATTACGACATTAGAATAGATAGTCTTCCTTTCACGTCTCGCTCCCCCTAAATTGAGAATGTGAAGAAGAAAAGTGAAAGATGTCGAAATCAGTGGTCATCTCATTGCATCTCACCCCAGCCCAAGCTCAAACAGACTGTAGCTACTAGGTAATATGAGCTCGACATTATGAATGAATGCCTAGTAGACATTACTCAGCAACTTCAATTCTTTGAACAAAATCTAAGATTGACATTCACTCACTCTCTCACTCTCATCTCAGATAATCTGATAGAAACACGCATTCTTCCCTCCCTCCCACATATAGACTCTACAATCATCTAATCTCATTCCTCTCCACAATATTGAAATATTGAACATATAAATAACTAACAATACCAATTCATCTATAAAAGATCTACCCCTCTTATCTTATCTTATCTCATTTTATTTTACTTTACTTTATTTTACTTTACTTTATTTTACTTTACTTTATTTTACTTTACTTTACTTTACTTTGTTTTACTTTACTTTACTTCTATTCTTCTATTAATATTTAAATAGATATTTCTATATTCATATTATATTACTATTGCAGCCATACACACATTCATTTGTTCTTCATTCTTCATTTCTTGTTTCTGGAATATGATTTGATTTGATATGATTTGATTTGATTTGAGTTGATATAATCTGATGTGATCTGATCTAATCTGATTTCGCTGTCTAGCTGTAGGTAGATAGGGAGGGAGGGAGGGAGGGAGGGAAGTAGGTAGGTAAGTAAATATTCGAAAGTGATTGATTCATTCATTACACATATCATATCATATCATATCATATCATATCGTACCTACCTACCTACCTACCTACCTACCTACCTTAGGTAGATACTCAAACCCATTCATATACAAGTAATAATAAGTCAGCAAGCAAGCAAATCAGCAAGTAAGCAAATCAGCAAGCAAAGAAGAGATCAGAATTTCATCATTCATTCATTCTTTCATTCATTCTTCGACTTCTCCTGATTACTTAATTACTCGATTGATTGACTGATTATTCCTACTCGTATATATGCTAGATACCCACCTCTCATAATTATCATCTAGGAATCCCGATACTTGAATCCCCTCTCTTTTCATTTCTCGTTTCCCTTCTCCGTGTCTATCTCCTTGCCATCTGTATGTGTATATCTTCATTTCTACCCTTTTCAGTGAAAAAAAGAAATAAAAAAGGTGGAATAATATCCAACTATTACATCAATATATATATATATCAATGTATTTCTATCCAACCATTTCCTCATTTTCTCGTTTTCTCGCCTGCAAATACTCGTATACGCGTACACATGTCCAAACATGTATATTTCAATTCAAATCCAAATCCAAATCAAAATCAAAATCAAAATCCCATTCGCACCCCCGTTTCCAACACACCACCCGAACCCCAACTCTTAAAACTTCTCGAGAAACGTACAGACACCTGCACAAATCTAGTACGCCGTTGATTTGATGGTGCCCCTTCCCTTCCCTCCCCTCCTTCTTGCCGCCCAAGCTAAAATGTACGATGGGCCAATCTGATACCCATTCATCTGATGTACCCCTTACTCCAACTCCAAAAATATATTTATACAAGAATCTTCTCCACCTCAAAACCTTTCCATTACCCACTACCTTCTGTCCCCCTCCATCTTCACGCGATACGTATCCCTCAATCCCGGGAACGCACTCGCAAATTGAGGTCCCAAACTCCAATTTTCCAAGCGTCTCAAATGTCTCTCAAAAACCGGATTAATCAACAGCTCTCCCTCTTCACTAAGCCCCAGACCCGATCCCCCACTCCCACCCCCAGAATTTAGAAGTGCATCTGTAGGTTCATACGGCCAATTGACACTCAATGTACCAGTAAAGGGGATGAAAAAGTTATCAAATAGATAATCCCGCGGATTGTAATCTCTAACGAGAATATCCCGCATCTTAGGCCAAGGGAGATGATCGATCCATGCTGGATGCGGAGTGAAGAGCTGAGAAGGACGAGGAGTTATCCAGGAGGGGAGACGATCATAGTTTGCTTGGCTGGGGTGAATTTGCCAGCGCATCAAGAGAAACATTATATAGAGCACTGCTACTCTTTCGGGGAGAGTAGAAAGGTCGGGAAATGTGGCAAGGATGTCGGTGAAGACCTTTGAGACGGGGTGGGAAGTAATGCCACGAGAAGGGTTTAAGAGGCTGGAAACAGATGGATAGGCTGGTCCTACGAGTTTAGGAGTAGGTAGACCTTCGAGAGCGGCGGCCTGACGCTCTTGAAGGAAATCCAGAAGGAGACTATCTAGAGGGCATGTAGGAGGTCCGTTTCGGATAGGAGCGCTAAATCCGTTCATTTCCGAGCCTGAACCCGAGCCCGAAGAATTATTTGGAGTGTTGTAATTCGTTGTACTGCTAGCTGTTGAATTGTTGCGCTGGTGTATGGGACTCATACTATCAGCTGGTCTTGGCATTTGCTGAAATCCAGTAGTTTCTAGTGGACCAGGAGGAGGGATGGGTATCTTCCCACGCTGTCCTTCGTCGAGAAGAAAATCTAGACCAAGTCTTTCCGGGCCCAATTCAAGATTATGTGCCATTTCATGTCGTTGTTGTGCTAATTGTTGAGTTTGCTGAGATTGGATAAAGGGTCTGGAATCTTGGGTAGGGGCAACGGACATTGATGCAGAGGAAGCTGGCCATGAGGGTCCGGCAACGGTGTTGGGAGAGGCTATACTATTAGGCGTCGATGCATTGCGATTCGCGGAATTTGGTCGATTGGGCGGAGGATAATTTGACTGCGGTGGTAATTGAGGAATTTCGAATCCTGCATCGCAAAGTTAGCTATCGGTTGAGCTATTTCTGCGAATTTGTTGAGTCACAAACCCATTTACTGACCATGAGCAACCAAGTATTGGTGTGATAAGTGCAATGACCTGCGATAGCCTCTTCTTGATATCTAGATTCTCTTGCTCTACCATTTCCTTCTGCCGTATTACTTGCTGTAACTCCTGATAGGGTTGTTGGCTAGTCAATTCCCTAATCCTCCTCTCGTACCCCTCCATCTGATTCTTCGTCCTCTGTCTTATACTCCTCTGTGCCTCTCTATCATTCGCCCTCTTTTTCGCCAACTGCTCTGGCGTTAAATTCGCAACACCTCTTGCACTCGACCTCCTCTCTTCCGTTGGCGGAATTTTTCTCTTCTTCGACGATTCCCCCCCACTAGTTCCACCTCCACCCACACTGCCCTCTCCTTGCTCAACCGGAGTACCTCCCCCCCCACCATCACCCGTTGAATTTACATTTTCGCCCTCCTCCCGATCACCGGGTGTAGAATGCGCGACGCTCACATGTCGCTGGTCGGACGATGGAGATGTAGATCCCTGCTGAGTTGCATTTGCATCAGGTGTCATACTGTATCTGCGAGAACCCGTGGTTCTCGCATGCGATGCGGCCTTCCGTGGGACTTCCTAATCTTAATGCTCTAAATTTCGAGAACAGACACAGCACAATTTGTCTTGTTAGCAATAGATAAGAGACATCAAGTATTTATTTCGCGTTTGGTAAAGTAAATGGGGTCGAGGGATGGAGGGGTTCTTTCATATATATATCGTCATGTACATTTGAATATCGGGGTTCGCTCGAGTCATGTACTCCGTAAATTGAGGAGAATAAACAAACATATGAAAGCTCGGAGAAAACAATGGAGAAAATCTGGGAAAATACCGGGAATGTTGATGTCAAGAAAGATCATTTTGGAAAGAGCTTACTAGGTATATTAATTGAATGCCAATCATTACGGAAGTGATCCGCAATATAACCTTTATCTTCATTTGACAAATCTTTACATATCATGGTCTTTTGAGTGTTTACAGAATAGCTAGTTGTGCTATGCCATTCTAGAACCCGTATGCACTTATCTGCTATTATTTCGTAAATATTCGCTTGTATCTACCATAAGGGGTTTATTGATATCAACTTTCATATTAACCTGCCACGAGCTTGCTATCAATGCCCCCAAACCATATAAACATTGTAATAATCCCCTGCGAGAGTCATGGTGTCACCAAACAATTAGGGGACGGACAATTCCCAGATTACTTTCTAGTGAAGATTCTGAAGAAGTATTTGTAATAACACGGGGAGATGCCCCGATTAGTATTCATTCCCGCATAGGCGTACCAATCAAAACATCACTTTGGTCATATATTTGAAATCTCGATGTTCTATATTCATTAACCACTCGTAATTAATCTTCTAATAAGCAACACAATTCATTCTTCATCTATGCATTTGCTCATGAGAAACGGTAAAAATCAACTACAAAAGTAGTAGACAGACCCCAGTGTTTTCATTTCGGTCCATCCAAATTAAAACTCAAAATGCTCTTTTAATCTCTTCCCACTGTGCTATTCTAATATACATTCAAGCTTATAAGCTCATGTCATATGTTCATTCCCTTACTCCGATTGAGCCCTCGCAAGAGCTTCATGAAGAGACGCAGGAAATCTGTATCTCAATTGACTGGTATAAGTCGTCAAGTCCATGTTTTGTTGTCTCAATTGATTAATCATCAGTCGTCTGGTACCCTCATTACCTCCATATTGGGCATTCATAAGGGAAGTTCTTTGGTTGTTGCAACACAAAACTGTCCATGTCAAAAGACTAGGGATAGTGTTTGCAACTTCTTGGGAGAGCGATGAAAATTTGGTGGCATAACTTCGTACTGCACTTGGATTGCCCTCGGCGCTCAAGGGAAGAATGTCAAGATTCTGGACAACCTATAGTAAAAATAAAATTAGCTTACGATCTAAAATTTCAAAGGTCAAAACTTACATCTAATGCTTCAGCCCATTGTCTGTTTTCAACAAAT